TGAATCTTTAGTTGCCTTTATGCTGGAAAACTTTAGGCACAGCAGCCCTGCAGTGATCCTGAAAACATAGCAATATGGAAAGTATTTGGACTTATTTATAAATAACTTTCAGCTTTCCCGCCAAAATCATAATCAATCTAAACTATTTCTGTGTCAAACAAAAGAGTTTCTGTGTCTTATCACCAGTTTAAAAATATGAGAAGTGCTCTAAAAATAATGCCTCCTGTTTTATTATGTCAGCCCAGGACATCAGAGGAGGATGTTGGTGGTATGGCAGAAGAGGGTGAACCTTCCCACCAATATTCCATTACATTTTGTAACAGACGGCAGCAGAAAGGCAGTCTGACAAAATGGCATCTGACATAGAAATACATATGAAACAAACTGGAATTCCTCCATATGGAAGTAATGGCACCCATAAATTGATCAACATTTGCTGAATGATAATGAAGACCAAAGAGTAGATGTGAGCACAGTGAGGCGGTTGGTGAAGCATCTCAACATTGGTGACAGCAACATAAAAGACAAGCCATGTTCTGGACAGTCATACAGATCCTTATGAGTGCAGCACATGGGCTCTTGTTCATCACTGGTGAAAATTCATGGCTAACTGTGGTGATTACATTGAAAAAGAGTTTTGTAGCTGAGAATCTGCTCCAGCAAATAGTGTCATGGTGCTCTCTTCTATCTGTTGTAGTTTCCGTGGAAATAAGAGGTATTACTTTCAGTAATGAAGGAAAAAAGGTTTCATTTTCAAAACACCAAAACTACTTTGGCTGCTTCAAATTTTGTTTTTTAGTTGTCATTAATTTAAGCCAAAACCACTTGCTGAATTTAGTATGGACACTCATACAGTTGCTTTAAAGAAAAACAAACAAACAACTAAATCACCTTTTTTGCAAATAGCATTAATTAGCAATAATGCTGTTTAATATACATGCAGTGTACTCTATTTTAGTTTCACCTCATTACAAATTTTTGACAATGTTTAAATAAAAAGATGATAAAAAGAAACACTACAGCAGCTCTTCTTTCATATTATTGTCAACACTGAGTCTGAGTGAAATGTTTCACACGTAAAAGTGACTTTTTTAACAAAAATATTGCATTTTTAACCAAAATAGAGCATGGAATGACTCATGTTATAAATCACACAACTTTGTCAAAAGAAAGAAAAACGTTGCACAGAACTGACATTTGTCAGGTTAAGAAAAATTAACTGTTTTTATGAAAAGTGATCTTGCTCTCCCTGGATCATGCTGCTCTTCAGAAACGTTTTTACAATACATAAACCATTTTCAGATGCATGTATTACCACCTGTCACAGATTGCAGCAAAGATTGCTCCATGAGGTTTTCCAAATTCTTGTCTTTTCTAAGGAACATCCTTCAAGCTTGCCAAGAGCTGTAAAGTTGCTGCCCAAATACAGTAGATTTATTAGAAGTGCTGAAGATATTTATGGCAGTGAATTTCTTCAGTTATGAAGTAGCCAGTTATTTTCCCTTAATGTATCTCATTGTTCTCTCATTGTAAGCTATTCCTGGTTGCCAAAATTCCTGTTTGCTGGGTTTTATGAAGAATGGAATTTTAAGCAGAAGCTGCAATGCTACTTCATATCAGAAAGCTCCACCAAATGGATATTCTCTAAGGGCAATTGACTTTCTTAACTTTATTTTCACTACAATTCTATGTCAAACAGTACACATCCTATCCTGGACAGAATGTTACTAAGGAAAGCTTCCTCACAGGATATTAAAGTTTATGGCAGCCTGCTGCACTTTCCTCCCCTTCAGAGAAGGCCATATGTACCCACTGAAACTCCACCTGCTGCATGGGGACTTCAGAACACTGTTAATTGAAACTCCATTAAAGTTCTTTTTGTTCCTTGTTTTGAGCTTCCAGCCTGGGATCATACGTGGGATGATAAGCAGAGGAATAGAACAGATGGAGGAAACAGATGCCATCTCCAGACACAGGTGAAAGGCTATGGTTAAACTCTCAATCCCACAATTGCTAACTTCTTCCCCATGCATCATCACAAATATCCCTGGCACTGGCAGATGTCCGCTGTACCTACCCTAAGTGTAACTGATACCTGCTGTGTACTTCCATTTCCCACCTTTGACACTGGTAACAATGTTCAGCTTTCCGATTATGAAAGTTACATCAATTTGAATAAAATACCTTGCGTATAATTGCAAATACTTGACATGGGATAAATGTTAACAAATAAAATATCAGTTAGAACTGAGGTCAGCATAGAATGATAATAATTCTAGGTGACCTCCAATTGAAAGCAGTAGCAAAACTACTATAATAATTGGTACAGGATTGGCCTATCAATTTCCAGGGATCAACATTGCAATGTGCTGTGCATTTTGGCTCTAGCTGATCTGAAATTTTTAGTCTGCAACATGTCATGGGGAAAGGAAGTTGGTTAAATGGAGTTCTCAAAACACACAGGATAAGGCTAACGTCTTAATGAAGCCTCTTAAAACTTAACCATTACTAATTTAAAAAAATATTAAGTGTTTTTTTTTTCCTTTTTATTTTATACTACTTGTTTGACTTGTTAAATTAACAATTGAAAAGAATTTGAAAGTGGTCACATTTTATTTTTTCTTAGTATTGCAGATTTTGTGTATTTGGCAATTTTTTTTTGTGTACAGTAAGTTCCTGTTTCCTATGTGATTCGTTCAGATTGCACTTTTTAACATTTTTTTTTACATAGTAACATAGAGAATGCAAAATAGTGTTAACATTTTCCAGAGCACTCAAGTTCCAACATTTGAAACATACATTAGGCACTGATTTCCAATGCTTTTTGTCTCCTGTTATAATTTTGAATATACGGACAACATATATTTGAGCTAGAAGTACATCATAATCACTTGTGCCATAAAATCAGCAATGAAAAAAATTATACGTCTCCCAGGAAAAGGTTTAAGTAACTGCATGATGCAGTATTAGTCTATTGAACTGCTGGATAAAAGGCAAATAAATTCCATTTTCAAAAGCTACACTGCTTAGGAAAGACTAAGGTAAAGAGAGGAAAGCCTGAGCACCTGTAATTCAGCTATCAAGATATTCAGATTCTAGATCAGTGATTTTTGAACTTCTAATGTTTTTAGATGCCTAAATTTATTCCAATGCAACCTCTAGAATTTGTTTTCCTATTCATCATTCATGAATATTGTTCAGCCTGGAGAAGAGAAGGCTGCGGGGTGACCTCATTGCAGCCTATCAATACCTGAAGGGAACCTACACCCAGGAGGGGAGTAAACTCTTCAAAAGGGCTGACAATAGCAGGACTAGGGGAAATGGATCCAAGTTGAAGGAGGGAAGATTTAGGTTGGATGTTAGGGGGAAGTTCTTTACTAGGAGAGTGGTTAGGCCCTGGAACGGGCTGCCCAGGGAGGTTGTGGATGCCCCGTCCTTGGACGTGTTTAAGGCCGGGTTGGACGGGGTCCTGGGCAACCTGATCTAAATGTGTATGTTTGGTGGCCCTGCCAGGCAGGGGGGTTGGAACTACATGATCCTTGAGGTCCCTTCCAACCCGGGTGATGCTGCGATTCTGTGATTTTGTGAATATCTTAGAACTTGTTCACAGCTTTCTACTCATCTTACAGACCAATAATCACATGCTGAAAACCACAATTATAAACTCAGGAGACAAAATAGACTGACTTTTAAAAACAAAACTAATTACAGTTTTAGTAGAAAGGTAACTTTTCGTGGCCAAATCCCATTGTCCTCATCCCACAGTATGCTCAGATCTCCAAAACTTTTAGGGCCTTGATGGACTGCTACTGAAAGTCACTGCCCAAGCAGGTCTTATCTCTGTCCATGTCTCCATCAAGTAGCTCTTTAAATCTTCCTAACAATCTGTTATTCTAACAGCCAGATGTCTTAAAACAGTCACACTTGTGCTAAGAAGCAGATCTTCCACTCAGATGGGTCCAAGTCCTCCATGCTGCCTATGACTGAATCACGTACTCCTTACACTCCCTGCTAGGAAACCCTTGGCAGTGTCTGAGATAGACAATTTCCTTCAGCCAAGAAGATGTTTCATATGCATGAAAATGTTGAAAGTACTATAACAAATTAAGATATGAGCATACCTAATCAGAAAAATGAAAAGTGAAAATTAGAAGAAATCAGAGGTAATGAAAAGCCTAGTATAAAGCCTCTACTCACTAGAATAAAGCAGCCATATATTAACCTTAGACTAGCCCTGAAAGTCAGTGGAAAAAAAGGAGATAATGTCCGTCTCTAAGAATATTTTTTTTCCTGTCATTCACAGGATTTTTAAAATATATACCAAGCAACCACAAATGTTCATATTGCTTGCTTATTATTCAATTCATCTGTGTTAGTGAATAAACAATCACACTTGTTCAATTATTTTGTTGAAAATAATAAATCAGAATTCAAGATTACATTCCACAATTGGAAAAACACTTAGGCAACAGTGTAAAGTCTCTGAATGCTGCTTATTAAAATAGTTACATCTGTAAATGAACTCAAATACAGAACACCCAGATCCTACTATTGTAAAAATCCAAAGCTGTATCTAAAGCCATACACATTCTCTCAAGTTATCTGCTGAGATGAGAAAAAAATCCAACTCAACAAAGAAAGAGACTCTAAACAAGATTCCCCTTTAACAAAGATATTAATAAAGATGTGGATGAAATTCAGTTCTTTAACATAATCAGTACTTTTCTGGTTGAGGCTAGATTCTGTTGCTGTGACCAGTACAGGATATAACTATACCACAGAAGAAATTCTGCTGTGATTTACATTCCGTTCAATGCAGGAATATTACAGTAGCTCATAAGAAATCACTCCGCAGCCCTTAATACTTGTATTATAAACAGCTCAAGTAAAATTGAGCAGTGCCACTTACATGAGCACTTACTATTAGTACAGATGCTTTCTAAACTTCTTAAGAAAAATACATCTTGTAACGCATAGTACATAATACTGATTATACTCACAGATTATAAAATCCTTGAAGAGCCTCAAAAAGACGACATTCAGCATTTCAGATGTTTCCTTTGAATGCCTTTTGATGCTTTTGTAGAAGAAGGTGTTTCCTTACTTGCTTCCCTGTCCTTCACTTCACTACGTGCCATCTTAACATCTGCCAACATCTCCCTCCTTCCTCAGGAAGGGTCTGACTGCCTCTCACTTAGTCACCAATGATCTCTCAAATCATACTGCCATGTTTCCTTATTAGTCCTTCAGGAGACAGTTGGACCTCTACACACTTCACCTTTCCCCATAACTCTCTGTACTTAGGTCTGTGTGCCACTAATCCTGTCTGTCGTATCTGTGCTATGTGCTTTCTCCATTTATTTTATTCAACTTTCATTTTTTTCCTATTTAGGAGATGAACCATTCTGGATGCCAATTTTAGTGGAAGAAATGTAAGATCTGAGATAGAGATCTGTTATGCCAAAAATGCTTGGAGTTGGCACCAATTAGCATTGTAACCACTATAATGTTTCCCATGCTTCTGATCTGTGCTTGACAGTCAAGAGGAGATCAAGGAAATAGAAGAAAAACATCTCTTCCATTTTACTTTATCCAGTCAAGGATGAAGTGCCAGCAACTGGGGGAATAGCTGAGTGGACTTAGGTAAGTCAGTCTCTACCAGCCAAAAGGAGGAAGAATCATAGGGATTTGAGATTTTAAGGGACTTGGCTCTTACATCAATGTCTAACTGCTGAAAGCAGCACCATGCCTACAAAAGTCTGTATGACTGGAGGTGTCTGAGTGCGTGTCCCAAGGGTGTTTAGCCTCGCTAGTGGTGGAACCTGCAAAAGAGAAAGCAGCGGTCCTGTCCACTTGTCTGGGATGGAGAACTGTGGGAATGGCCATTCCTAACATCTCTTAACAGTTTGCTTAAAGCTGGTGTATAGATGCCTTCAATCCTGCAGTCATATCAACATTGCTTAAGTCACATCAAGGTCTTCTCACATGCCCCATACAATGCCTTTCATTTTAAAAAAACCTAATCCATACTGAGATGAGCTCACCTTCCCCTGTGACACTGCTGAGGATTTTGGAACAGAATAGTAAAGCAATCCATCTTATTTATCCCAAACAAAACACAAAGGTAAGACAATGCATGCTATAAAGATGAAGAAGCTCATGCTTTGTCCAGCCATTTAGTTATTGAAATGTTAAATGTATTGACCTAAGCTGGGAGAAGAATTTAGTGAGGAAGAGATAGGGCAGCTAGTAAGCTAGGGTTAACGTTCTTCTCCAGATTTTCCATCTGTCCACCAATGTTTTGTAAGTTCTGTATAACTTTCAATCATCTGTCTTAGCAATTCTGAATGCACACATGTGCTTTAAAAGTACATAAAAAGACAAAAGGTTAAACCTTAAGTTCAAGCAACAGGGAGCTGTCATCAGTTCAAATGGGATCAGAATGTTATATGTGATTCAATTTTTTTTTTTTTTTTTTGTCAGTAATGCCTGATGTTTGCCTTGCTGCCTCTTCAAAATAACTGCTACTAGGGTTTATTATTTATAAGCTTAGAAGTCTTTGGAGGCTGTCCATTTCAAACCCTAAGAGATCCATTCTTGTTACTCGTTTTTAAACATTCGTGCTTCAGCATTAAATTGGCTTATTAAAGAATACAATAATTGCTGTGGAACTTAAAAATGCTGATCTTTTCATAACCCTGAAAAGTAAGAGACTCATTTTAATGTACCCAAAGGAATTATGGAACTTAAATTATTATTTCTATGGTGACAAAAGAATGCTTTATGTTTACAAATTTAGCATAAACTTCTACAGAGAGCCTAATTTGTAAATGTCTACTTACCTGCAGTAGCTTCCTTCTTCATTTTGAGGTCATAGAACTATTACAGTAAATTCTTCAGAGTTACTGCACACTGTATGTAAAATAAAATTACAGTCTTACAATTTGGATTTTGGAATTTGTTCATTACTGACAGAAGGAGAATGCCTTTACTGAACCTAAATTCCTGGAATTGCCTCCTTTAAAATCAGAGTGATTTTATGTGATGAAAGGCTGTTAGAACTGGCAAGAATTTGCAGAAGTGAGCCCAAAATACTACAGTTTTCTATTCTAGTGTTTGAATGGTGGGGAAAAGTTCTGTCATTCCATGGAAACTAGCAGATCTAATCATATGTGAAATTTCATATGGTTTTGCTTATCAACAAAACAGACGAGCTATATGATGTTTCTAAGTTGGTATTTTATTTGAAAGAATGACAACTTCGACAAGACAGAATGAGTCAAAAGGAGACACTTGAACAAAAAGTTGAATAAATGTAAGTAGTACTGTGTAAAGTTTCTACAATTTTTAACTTATGAAAATGATTTAGCCACAAGGTTATTAGCAGCAGGTAATCTACAGGCACAATAGCACCCTGATCTTATTCATTAATCAGCACTACACTACCAAAAAAAAAAAAAAAAAAAAAAAAAAAACAAACCAGCAGCCTGTATCTCAAATAGAAGTACTCTTTTCTTAAACCTTAAATACATTATTTTTTTTCTCACCACTTAATACTTTCAATTTTCCTGAAAAGTTCAATTCTAAAAAAATAAGTAAAGAAGAACTCAACACTATCTTTCATTCACTAAGTTCTGGTGATTGCAGAGAACAACCCCTTTTCTTCCTAAAGTCACATCTGTGTACATTCTCCACAAGAAAGGAATATATCTGTAGTTCTCCCTACATTTTCACTTTCTCCTACGGTGCAATGACCATCCTGAGAAGCTAATCCTCAACATTAATTAAAAGATGTATCATAGACTCACAGAACAGCTTGGGTTGGAAGGGACCAGTAATATATTCTCATGCTCAGCAAGCTGATTGCAGTTAAGTATAGTGTGATCACAGAGAAAAATATTTTCCTTGAATATCCTTTTAACCTAGGCTTGCCACATGCTTCTGTAAAGTAAAAGCTTTACTTTGGCCTGCTTCCAGACTTCCTTTAAAACAAAACCTGAGCTCTCATTAGAAGGTTATTTTTCTGCGTTAGTGTGCATATTCAAATTCTTGGAAATAGGGCTGGTAAGTTCTTCACTTCCATAGAGAAACCAGGAAAATTCCTGTGACTTTTTTTTTTTTTTAATCAAAGTCACTCCAAAATGCTAAATATTAGAATGATATTCTGAGGTATATGATGAAAGCCACGCATTGCCTGATATTCCCAGAGAAATGTTCTGCTTAAGACTGATGATAAGGTTCTCATCCAAAGCAACCTTAAGACAAAGCAAACTCTAAGGTCCACTAAATGTACGTAGCATAAAGTAGAACATCTTAAAAATATGAGCAAGTAAAACAACATTTTATTACAGGGAGAACAAAGACTTAATAATATTACTAGCTCAGTATGGGTTCTCACTCTTCTCCTTGGCTTCCCTGCTTCTACTTGCCATGACTCAGTTTTCTGTACCAAAACCTGAAGGGTTTCACACAGCATAGTACTGAACAGATTGGTTGGCTGATAAACATCAGTATATACAAATGGCAAAGACACTGTACTGAGTTAATGCCTGCTATAGGTGAATGGTACTATAGCTTTTACAGAAGTAGAAATAAATAAAACGTACTTTATATTAATAATCAGTGAATGTGAAGATTTCAATAAATGAAAATTAATGACTAAATCCTAATGTTCAGATAAAACTAAAAGCTTTACAGATAAAACTAGCATGTATTACCAAACATTTGGGTTTATAATTAGCATATACTTTACAACAATCATCAGATAATCTCTGTTGTCAGGTGTTTCAATAAAGAACCAACATCTTTTGAGCAGACCATGAGTCTTTTCCCCTTTCATTACAAACCAGAATTGCAGCCTCTGGGCACAATTACACCATGCAATGAGGTGCTGTAATCTGAACTCTGAGCTACAGTTTATAAAAAGCAAGCAACAGCAACAACAAAGCAGGTAGAATCCCACCACCCTGGATAAAACATCTTTTATATTTCTTCTTGCAGAGGCGGTATTTTCTCCAGATGGCATGATGCAAGTTAAGCAGATAAATAAAATGTCTGACATCACAATATGTAGACAGAACCAACCACATTTTGCACAGCCAGCTATTAGATGAAAGGCTCTTATGAAAACTAATAGCCCTGCCTTTCACATGCTGGTATCAAGCCCAGCCATGTCTGAGGAGGCTGCATCCTAAAGGAAGTGCAAGTTAAATCACTCTTATGTCTGTCCTCACATTCTGAAATCCAGTGCTTACCCACATTCATCCAATGGGAATTATCTGTCAGCATGTCTCAGCATGATTGACAAAGTCTTTATAAACCCATGTGATTAAGCTGGACATGAAGTGAACAGTTCCCAGGAAAGATCTTTATGCTCCACTTCTTTCCACTTGCTATTCCCTAATTATTTGATATTAACTTAGTACTGGGGCAAGTGTATAAGACCAAGTGCCTCTGACAGTGAAGCCTAGCAATTTACTAACAGATAAGTAAAAGATCAAAATATACAGTTATCAAAATATTTAAACTACATGTATTAAACATAAATTCTTAGATTTTTGGGAAAACTACGTTAAACTAGAATGCCCATTTTTAAATCAGTATGAAAAAATTGAATCTCCACATCAAGGCTGCTTGATGTTCTCTGTAAAGCCTCCTACATTCTCTGCTCTCAGCACTTCAATGTAAAATGAAGCCATTGCTAACAGTCATTGCAGTTACACGTACTCCAGATGAACAGCTTTTGCAGTTAAAGTCAAACTGAGCATAATGAAATCTCCCATAGTCCACTAGGGGAAAAAAATGCACACAGAATATGACTTGCTTCCCTTTCCCTGAACACTAGAATGAAAAAAACAGTTACAAAAATTTGTCATTCTTTGGCAACTCCTGTATTCTCCCTGCAGATATTTTTCAAGGATATCTACTAAAGATGTAATCCTTCTTCAATACTTTTCTTCTACCTTCACCATTCACTGATGCCTTCAGTTCACAAGAAAGATTTAATTTAACATAGGAAGACCTAAATAATTGCAAATGTTTTTGCTTTGAAAGGTAATCAAAATGAAAGAAATCAAATCATAGTGCTTAAAACTATGCAGATCTTTTAGCTACGGGCTAGGTATGAGAATGAACCATGATGGCTTGACAGTTCCTGATCCAATAGTTTTTGGAACTGATTCTCCCATGCACCACAAGAAACACTGAAACCATCACTGGCCTGGAAAAGAGAAGGCTGAGGTGAGACCTCATTACGGCTTTCCGGTGTTCAAAGGGAAATTACAAACAGGAG